ACAATGGAGCCCACAGTTGAACTTCATGCTTGCATTCCCCCCAAGAAACCCTTAGATTCGTAATGAAACTGTGGTGATTTGTGTGACGTTCTCACTCGTCACTTAGGCATTAAAAAGATGTGTTATCAATGGCCAAGACTCAATCAAATGATCTTACTAATTCATCAAGGACACTCAGGTAAAACTGGCTTTAAAAAAAATGGCAAGTGCATGTTATGAAGAATATAATGACAGCCAATGCTGAGGTGCCATCGGTTCTGCCCATCTTTGATTTGGAATGTAAGTACTAATTACTTTTTTTTTTTTTTTTTTTTTTTTTGGTTTTTTGAGACAGGGTTTCTCTGTAGCGTTGGAGCCTGTCCTGAAACTCGCTCTGTAGCCCAGGCTGGCCTCGAACTCACAGAGATATGCCTGCCTCTACTTCCCGAGTGCTGGGATTAAAGGCGTGCACCGCCACTGCTTTGTATTGTGACAAAGATCATTTTTATCTTGCTGTCCCTCCAAGAGTGTCTCAAGCACCCCAAGGATTATGGGGTGCTTCACCCAAGACAGCCAAGAAAATACAGTCTCATCTGCTTAGCACGGAAATGAAATATAAAAGCCTTCATAAAAACTTAAATATCTGCTTCTTTTAAAACATGAGTCTTCTGTAGCTGAAATACATTTTTTGCAACAAGAAAGATTAATTCAAGAAGAGTATCTATAATTATTCAGGATTGAAGGAGCTACCTATAAGAGAAGGAATAATTATGATCTTTCTTTAGAAAGCTGGAGAGTTGTTTAAAAGTCATGATTTCACTGGATTGGTATTTATTGAGCATCTGTAGAGTGTGATGTGTTATGTAAGAGGTATGGATCTGGGTCCCTGCTCTGACAAGAACTGATGTGCAACTAGCAAGCTAGAATATGTAACTGTAATAAGAGATATGAGAACTTAAGGACTAAATATAGATAAGGAAAACAATATCAGAATTTGCCACAAGGCAATATGAGATGCAAAGTGGTGCAGACATTTAGGGATCTGCTGTCTTCAGTGACTCCCACTGGTTAGAGCTTCACTCAAGACCTGCAGCCCTGACCCTAAGAACTTACCCCACCTTGGACTCTACCAGCTACTAGTGAGACCCAGACTATTAGCTCCACAGGAGCTTCCTGCTGGCTGCTGTGGCAGGATGGCCATGTTGGCTAGTTTTTGTTAACACAAACTAGTGTCATCTGAGAAGAGAAAACTTCTGGTGAGAAATTGTCTCCATCATGTCACTTTGGCCTGTATTCATGTCTATGGGGCATTTTCTTGGTTAATGATTGATATCGGAGGGCAAAGCCCATCATGGACGGTGCCACCCCGGGCAGATAGTAGTTGTATAAGAAATGTAGCTGAGCAAGCTACAGAAGCAATCCAGTAAGCAGCATGTCTCCATGGTCTCTGCTTCAGTTCCTGCTGTGAATTCCTGCCTTCGCTTTCTGACTCATCAGTCAGACAAAACCGTTCTTCTCCCTAGTTGCTTCTGGTTGGTGTTTTTATCGTAGCAACAGGAAGTCAAGGACTGCAGTAGCTTGGGGCATTCTTTGTTTACATTTGTTCCCGCTAAGCTTTCCTTGATGCCCAATGCCCAACCTTTAGGCAGTTTGCAGGGTTATGTTTCAAAAGCTGCTTGGAGGAATATTTCCATGTTTTTTTTTTAAACCTCACTATTTATCTGGAGATCTTTGTGCCATATGGCAGGGATGGGAAAGGAAGATGGTCAGACGAGGTGGAAATGGGCATGGGAATGGAGGTGGGGGTGGGGAAGAGCCTTAGGGAGGTGGTGGGAACCCTAAGGGGCTGGATGCGAGGGATGGTGGGAGGAAGGTTCAGAAGGCTGTAGAGTCTAATGTTTTTCATGCCAAACACAAAGGGGAAAATAAACAAAATAAACCCATATTGATTGATAGGCAAGTACTTTCCTGTGTGGTGTGCTTTGCGAAGGTCTAAATCAGGGCAGAAGATACGGTTCCTATCAAGGTTTGAGTTACACGGCTGGGCCGGCTTGGCCCGGGCTTGGAAGCAAGACCTTGTTGATGGAGAGAGAAGAAAAGTGATGAGGAGCAAGAGGAAGAACATAAAAATCAGCTGAGACTGGAAAACTCACCAGAGGTGATTCCCAGGCTATGTGTGACTTCTCCACTCTTCTCTTTCCTCACTGTGCAGCAGGTGATGGGAGTGTCCCTCATTCCAGCTCTGGAGCGTGGAGGTCATCTCTCTTTCTATTTGCTGACGCGTTCGCTATCTCCAGCTGTAGATTGGCCAATTCATGGCACAACTTAGGGGACAAAGGGCCTTTCCCAAGAAACTAGGATTTGTAACTTTCTGAGATGTTGGGCAATAAGCAGGCCTTCCAAAGCCTATTTGCACAAGTGTCTCTAGCTCTGCAGTTCTCAACCTGTGGGTTGTGACCCCTTTGGGGGTTGAACAACCCTTTCATGGAAGTCTCACATCAGATGCTTACATTGCAATTTGTAACAGTAGCAAAATTAGTTATGAAGTAGCAACGAAAATAATTTTATGTTGAGGGTCACCACAATATGTATTAAAGGTGTGCAGCATTAGGATGATTGAGAACTACTGCTCTAGAAGAATAGAAAAGGAATTTTTCTCAGGAAGAGTTGAGGTTCAAAGACAAGGGGTTGTAGTCAGAGAAGTGGGGTGTTTTTTAAATGAAATTAGTGGCATTAGAAAGAAACATAATTTGGTAAAAAATGACCCATGAGCTGGAAAAAAGATATTTTAATATAAGTGACTGGGTAGTATCTTGAGAGTATGAAGATTCCTTAAGAATAACTGAAAGACAATAGAAACAGGCAAAATATGTCTATGGCTTTTTTTTTTCTGAGACAGAGTTTCTCTGTGTAGCTTTGGAGCCTGTCCTAGAACTCAATCTGTAGACCAGGCTGGCCTTGAAGTCACAGAGATCCTCCTGCCTCTGCCTCCTGAGGGCTGGGAGTAAAGACATGCACCACTACCATCTGGCTAGTCTACAGACATTTTATAGACTAATAAAGAGAAATGATCAATAAGTCTATGGAAATATTCTCAACCCCATTAGTGAATAAAATGCCCACTGAAAACAGAGTGACATACTAATTCATATCACTGAATCAGAAAAAAATAACTTTAAAAGATCATATGTTGGCTTAGAGATAAAGCATTGGGAGTTTTCACAGGATGTTAGAAGGGGAGTAAGTTGTAGTTTGCTGTTGCCTAGTAAAGCCGAACATTGTGGAAAAGATTATGACATCTCTAGAAACAATTTAACAGACAGAAGGGGAATAAAACACTTCTCTTAATTTTCAAGATAAATCTCTAGTTACAAAATCATTAATTTATCAATGAGGTGATTTTGATAAATTATAATTTCATCATGACTTATAGTATATAAGTATATAATGTTATATTTTAAGAAGTACATTACACAATAATTTTCTAAAGTTCCTTTTAGGACTAGGTTATATACTCTAAATGAATTATTGCAAATGCATATCAGCAAGATGTAAAAGAAAAACCCAAAGTCCAATGAGAGTGAAAGGTATAAATTAGTTGATGTGCATCAACACAAGCAAAAACTCCATAGAAGTGTAAATTGAAAAGGCAGAGTGTTACACTAACGTGGATGAGCCACAAGAGCAACATGGAGTGTTCATCAAAGAGAGTAAGAAATATATAGTTTAAGCATACCAACTCCTGTGACAAAATTATAAATAGTCCAATGGAACAATTAGCAAGACATTCAGGACCATGGTTACCACTGAGGAACAGAAGTATTGACTATAAAAAAGCATTAGGGAACTGCCAGAGTATTGGGAATGTTATATTTTAAGAAGTACATTAGTTTAATTTTAATTATTATTCTTTTATTGTTTTATATCATATACTCATATAATATGTTATGAAATTATAATTTGTTAAAATCACCTGATTGATAAATTAATTTTTTTTTGGTTTTTTGAGACAGGGTTTCTCTGTGTAGCTTTGTGCCTTTCCTGGAACTCGCTTTGTAGACCAGGCTGGCCTCAAACTCAAAGAGATCCGCCTGCCTCTGCTTCCCGAGTGCTGGGATTAAAGGCGTGCGCCACCACCGCCCGGCTATTATTTTTTAAACTAAGGGTTTATCTTGAAAATTAGAGGGTTTTTTTAATCCCCCTTGTGTCTGTTAGCTTGTTTATGAAGATGGAACAATATTTTCCACCTTTTGTGTGCTGTGGCACTGTGATTTTGTGGCTCCTGTGAAGAACAGGGATGTATTTCTGTCTCTTAGATTCTGGATTGATTCTAGAACATATTCTGGCTAATGAGATGTGGTAGAAATGACATTTTTCTGAGGCTTCTGTTCTCATCCTCCAGGAATCTGAGACCACTTTGTGATGACATGCATCATGTTAGCAAAGCCCTGAGACGCCATCCCTGATGCATAGCTCTATGAGTTAGCCCAAAGAGTACCAGAAAAAGAACTATCCAGCTAAGCTCTGAAATCATGAGTTATAATAAATAATAAGCAACTAAGTTTGGAGATGTTTGTTAAACAGAAATAGATTATGAACATGGCTCCATAGTGATTAAGGAATCCCTATAAGTAGACATAAAGGCATCCCACTCAGAAAAGTAGCCAGTGCCAGACAGGCCGTGGAGAATCAGCACTGGACAGAAGTATTATGATACAGAAGGACCAATGATAACTGCACTTGCTGCAAGGAATTAGAATAGAGTGCTGATCCATTTTTTAAGTGTCACATGAGATGCTTTCCATAGGATTCTTCCAAATGGGAGTGATTACGCATCACAGAGAAGGTCAAAGTACATGTAATGTAGCTTTGAAGTCATATTTTTCATTAGAAAAAGCATGAGACTGTTGTTTCACATATGTGAACATCATAAGCAATTTGCATAGCATTCATCGGCATTTCTGGCTGGGATTATCCTCAGGTTCTTCTCCTACGCTCTAACACCTCCCACTTCCCATTAGGATCTGGGCCAGAACTTTTGCAGAGATGGTGATGAGAAGGCTGTAGCTACCTCTGGAACTAAAGGAAGATCCTCAGAGCACAAGACTGAACTGGTATGAACAGGACACACTGGGAGATGAGGAAAGTTTCCTCAGATTGGGGATTAACTACTCCCAGAGAGTGCATATGAGAATTAAAAAACCAAAGAGGACAATACATCAGGAATGGAAAAAAGAAGGGTCAATGGTGGATTAGCTATAGTGGCTAGACATCTGGGCTGTGCTTGGACATTGAGACACCACTCAGACTATCCAAGAGTACAGCTTCATGATCAGTGGAGGCCCCATCATATCCCCTGATCCCAGTGCAGAGATGTCTGGTGAAGACCCAGGAGCCACTGTGCTTATAGCAAGGATGACATTAGGGGAGAGCCCTAGGGATTCAGCAGGTGGAGTGTGAACAGGGATACAATATTAGTTATTTTTCTCATTGCTGTGGCAAAATATCAGCTAAAGGAACACAAGGGAGGCAGTGTTTGCTTTGGTTCGTGCTTTGAGAGGGTTTGTATATCATGTGGGAGAAGGCATGGAAGCAGAAGCAGTGAGCTACCTGGTGGGAGGAGCTTATAGGTGCTCCTTACATGGCATCAGCCAGGAAGTGGAAAGAGATTGTTCCAGAACCAGGAAGTCCTGGTTATACTCCATAAGATCTTCCTCCAGCTAGGCCTGTTTCTAAAGGTTGCACAGCTCCCCCATACAGCTCCAAACTTTGAAATCAAGTGTCCAAACACATCCATCAGCAGGGGACCTTTTACATTTAAACCATAACAGATGTATATGATGACTCTGGGATAGGATAGCCACGTATCTCTGCATCCCTGGCTCAGCAGGAAACTTCACCGAATTCAGATATAAAGAGACATTCAATAAATGGTTGACTTTAGTGATCTGGGCAACACTTAGAAAAAGTAAGGAATGAGGAGAGAAAATGATAAGGAATGAGGAAGAGTTATGGAGCAGGGAGAGTAAGGACTCTATTGCCACCAGACTTGAAGGGACAAGGTGGGGAAACTACTCACTAGGACCTTAGAAGAAGGAAGTCCTTGAGTGGCAGGAGCTGTGGAGCTCGACTTTCCCAGACCCTGAAGGTGTATATATATACACTGCTTTGACCAGGGCTGGCTGGTACCAGTGGGCAAAGGTGCTTCTGTAGAGCAAACCTCTCCACACCAGTCCAGATGGGCACTGAGATGAGCAGAGAAGAGCAGAAAGGGACCTGCCAAAGCTAATAGAAGATGCCAGCACAGAGTACATTGTAAGGATGATCAATATGGCTTTATATCTTTCCCTAACATGTACTCTTATCTGTGAACCACCTCCCACATGTCAGAGTAAAGAGGAAATTCAAGGGCTCAGGAATGGAGCCTAATTTGGATGTTGTTGATATTATTATTGTAAACCCTTTACTATCAATTACCATATGAAAAGAAATACATATTCATTTAAAATGAAAGTCATCTATAAAATGTAGAAAAATACAAAGAAAAGAACAAAAAAACCCCAACAGTGGTCACCCTGTCACAATTGTAACAGCCGACTGCATTTGGGTGTCTCTCCTAATGGTGTTTTGTTTTCTTCTATGTGAATGTACAAAAGTGCATATGTGTATTTGTGCTATGTATCTGTATGTTCGTTTTCTTTATTTTATTGTTTTAATTAATCCATCAAGTGTGCATGTGTGTGTTTTGCACATACATGAGTGTCTGCACTCATAAACTCACATGCAGAAGGCAAAGGAAGATGTCTTCCTCTATTACTCTCCACTTAATTCCTTTAAGACAGGGTCTGTCAATCAACTAGAAACTCTCTGTTTTGGCTGGGCTGGCTGGACAGTGAACAGGGATCCACTCGTGTTTGGCCCTCTGTGCTGGGGCTACAGGCATGCATGGCCATGCCCAGCATTTTATGTGGGTGCTGCAGATTTGTACTCAGGTCTTAATGCTGCACCATAACTGCTCTTACTCACTGTAGAGCTAACTCTCCAGCTCTAGAGACTAACTTTTAAAAAACTGAACAAGTTACTGTGCAACTTATACTTGTGGACATGTGTCAAAAGCCTTGTGTTTGTCCTGTTTTATCTCCACAGCCTTCAGAAAGTTAAGTAACAAACCGTGGCCATCATTTTCACTGTCAATGCTGATATGCCAGGAAGAATTCAACAAATTGATGAATGTCACTATGACCAGATATCTGACAAAAATCAATGTAAAGGGGAACAGGTTTATTTTAGCTCCCAGCTTGGAGAAACACAGTCCATCATGGAAGCAAAGGTGTGGAGATGGTGGAAGTGGCTTCACGATGCAGACCAGGAAGCAAACAAGAGAACAAATGCTAATATTCAGCTGGCCTTTTCCTCTTTTCCTTTTTATTCAGTCAGGGACATGAACCCATGAGATGGTGACACAGACATTCAGGGAAGTTCTTACCTCCTCAGTCGAGCCTCTCTGGAAATTCCTTCAAGATACATCTAGACATGTGTCTCCTGGGTGGTTCAAAACAACTGAGTTGACGAGGTAGCCGCCATATACATGTTGACATGAAGGGCATACATAAAACATTTATAGGCATAGAGAAATAACTTTGAGAGTTTCTTTCCAAATCAGTTTTGATCATATAGCCACATACAAATTAATTATTAAATAATTTGTTTATTCAATATTCATTTCTAACTTTGTCAAAATTAAGGTATATCATATGAACAGTTTATACTTAGCTCTTTGCAGTTGCTGTCATGTTCTATTCCCTTCATCAAATATTGTGTGTAAAATACTGCTCCCCTACTCCAAATCCCTGGGAGAAACAGTCCCTTTATCACATATCCATACACAAGCTATTATGAACATCTTAATTATAAAATTCCATGTATGCATTAGTATAATTTCCTCGGG